GCCCCGCGGCGGCGGGTGCGCTGTCTGCGCGTCACTGCGGGACGGGGCACTGAGCATCAACGCCAGGGGTGATGACGCATCTTCTTCACAGAATGAAAAGCCCTCTTCGATACCTAACAACTTACAGGATCTTGTGTCAGCTGCGATTTTTACTCATTTACTCCGTAGACTTAGGTATTTTAAAAAGTTAACTTTGACAGCAGACACAGATGGATTCAGGTTACACACAGATACCAGCCCCTGCCTCGGGTACCTTTCAGGAATCTCCTGGTTAACCTCTTTTTCAAACCACAAAACTCTCTTGTCTCAAATACTGGCAGACTGCCACACTACACCCGAAACCAGTGTCTGTGGTTCTATACCACTTGTTACCCCCCCCACACACCTCTTCAATTTAGTTACATACATGATGGACTTGTAAAATTGTCCCTTTATTTGTAGAAGGCCATACTGCAATACTGTTCAGAAACATTTTACTGTCCCCTTCAGGGGCTGTCATAAGTATTTTACTGCAGTATTTACATAGCACAGTGCTTACAACTCCCCTCCTTTCAGGAGGGGAGTAAATACACAGTGCAAGCTAGAAAACAAAAGTCACTATGATGCAGTCTGGTGAAATAATGGATTATGCTAGAAAGACACTGACTCTGGAGAGCTTTCCATCCCTTATGCACTCATTATCAGAAGGCAAGCAGACAGAGTCTCCAATTCATAGATCCCAGGAAACAAGAGCACAGTAGTCATGACAACATGGTTTATTTATTTATTGCAAAGCACTTGATTTAACTAGGAAACCAGAAATCAGCAGCAGAGCAACAACAGGAAGATAGTACTGAATGGCATTTAATAGTAAAAGAACTTCAGAGATCTATTGGTTTCATGGGGTATTTATAATCAGTCCTGCAACTACATGATCTTTACAGTAATTCTGGTTGGTCTATGTTGGAGACAGCAGCTTCTAAGGAAGACTCCTGTTACTCAGCTCCACTAATACACAAAGCCACATAATCCTGATGTTTCTCTTTCAGGAGCAGTTTCTCCCACCTCTTCTCCCAAGCAGTCTCTAGTTTCAGTTGTGCTCTCAATACCCCTCCTATTTTGCTACTCTTAACGTCATTGTAAATTTTAAAGTACATACTGAGCTCAGACTTTAAAAGAACTCACAGTATCTACTGTACCACTGCTTAAGAAAATCAACTCAACTGTTACAGCTTTTTCCCCACACCAGCAAAGCAGGCATATCCAGAGCACATACTTCTCCCAGGCCACACAATGAGCCACAGAAGTGGAATATTAATACTGACATTTTTCATCATCATTCAAACCAGCAGGCTTGCAGGCAAAAGCAAACACTTTCAATTACAAGAACTTAGTTTGCAAAAGTAGTCACATTAAAAAAAACCCTTCTGATTACACAATTCAAAGACAGTCCAAAATCCAAGACTGTTCCTAGTAAACTGATGAGATAAGATGATCGCCAGTGTTTTACATTCCAGAATACTGTCTCCAGGCTCACGAAACCATCAGCTCCAGCTAGTGACCAGAACTCCTACTCCCAACAATGCACTGTCATTACATGCTGACAGGACATTTCTTACAAAAAAAGGAAGGGGGGGGAGGAAAAAACAACCCCACAAGATTATATCCTCTGTGTGTGTGTGTGTGTGTATATATATATAAAAATTACAATATCTTCCACATTTATTTCCTTCTGGCTTTGATAGGAGTTGCAAAAGGAAACCTGCCTTTCACTTACCTCTATACACTGCAATTGCCAGCACAGAGTATATGAAATGGCAGAACAAAAAATTACAACTTAATGAGAAAACTATAACAGAAGGCCCAACAAGAAGGGATGGAGCAGCAAACTCCTAAAACCATCTACTTGGTTCATATTCCCATAGAGTATAAATACTGCATCAGCATCTTATTCTCTTAAAGGAAAAATATAACGCACATTTATGTTTCCCAGAGACATGTCATAGCATTTTAACAGTAAGTTGCTAATAAGAACCTCAGCATTCTCTGGGTTAAGCTGTCCACAATGATTATGAGTGATTGTTTTAAAAGTCACTGAATTGGAGACAAAGCTCAAAACGTATCCTCACTTACAGCAATTTTAGCAACTTCTATTGAAAAGAAAGCAACACTTACTTTGTTGCATATATACAATGTCTGCAACATTTACGCAGTGGGAAAACTCCATTCCCTGTACAAATCCAGGGCATATCATTGCAAACAAGGTTTTTAATTAAAATTGGCATTTTTGAGCCTCCTACTGACTGACAGCATCTCACTGCCTCCTCCTCAGATGGCTAAACCGCCTTCCAAGAGATAGCGTGGAAAGAAACAAAATCACTAGAATACCTAACTTTGACAAGTCTCTGCTGGGGACAATTTCAATAACAGGATGCTGCAGAGAGAGATAAGGAGAGAATTGATGACTGCTTGGGAAGTCTTCCCTAATGAAGGCCCAAAACATCACAAACAAGACAGGCGAGGAGTTATTTTATTCCTAAACCTGGATTTATTCCTAATCCCAGGATAATCAAGCAGGGCAATTTTAATCAGAAACCATATTGTCAAAGAGAATGCAGAACAATGTCTGCACCTCAGTGGGTGCAGATTTCTTTGACTGCAAAAGTAAGCTTAGAGGCTGGCTAGACCTCTGGCTGGGACGTTGGCTCAGCTGTCAGCATTGACAAAGCTTTATCTCTCTCAGAAAATAGGCAAACATAGGCTCTCAAGTCAGATAGATAGATAAAGACCACTTCCCTGGTCAGAACATTTTCCCCAATTTAATGCAAAGAGTTTATATTGACTACTAGTACTGTACCTTCAGGAGGCTCTTCCCGCAGATGAGGAGGCAATTCTTCACTTGCTGTCTCAGTTTCATCTTCCACCATCTGTGTTTCTAAGCTAGGTCCCTGTAGAACAGAGAAGCAAGAGGAGGTAAATTGAAGAAAGTTCAGAGAGGAATCACAGAAATAATTGCAGGATTAGATAATATGCCAGACAGCAAGGACACAAGGAGCTCAATTTATCTGATGAGGAAGAAAGCTGCTGGGACACTTGTTTGCAGTCGAATTACTTACATGAGGAAGAAAAAAAATGAGAGTAAAAGAAAGACTCTTCAAGATATCAAGCAAAGTTACAAGGGTCTGAGCAGGCTGAAAACCAGGAACTGAACAGTGAAGCACAGTTTCTAAGTTACTATTTCTAAAACACAGAATGCAATAATAAATTCAAATCTGCATTTACCAAGGGTGGCAGCAGATTTGCCATCACTTGGAATTTTCAGGAAAATAAATAATCCAGTCTTTGATTTGTCTTAGCAAGACTAGGTTCTGAAATGTCTGTGGCCTGTTCAATACAGAAGGAGATCAATATGGGTTATACTAATGGTCCCACACCTTATTTTTCAAAGGAAAATAAAGCAAACTGGTTTACAACCTTCCAACACATCCAGGTCCACCGACCATGTTGTTTTCCCATACGTGCCCCTATACATGCATTTGTGCCTGCACGTGTAACATGCTAAACTAACCACTCCTGAAAAACTCCCCGACTGCCTTCCAAGTTTTACATTTTCACTTTCCAGCCTTCACCATCTTGGAAGGAGCCTGCAAGGTTGCTGCTGGAAGGATGCGAGCAGTTAGCACATTTGTAGACTTAGAGAGTATTCACATGTATTTAAGGCTGCTGAAATCACTTTGCGCACACACACAATATTTTTATGCTTTGTGGAGCTATAAAAGTGTAGTTGTTTCTTCAGTTTCAATCTCTCGAAGAAAAAAAAAAATCACCACTATGCTCCCTCCCCCCCTCCCTTTTT